ATGGATTTCAGTACCTCTGGCATGTTGTCCCAGGGAACTAGGGCTCCCGCTAACTTATGAGGTTTTTAAACATGTTGAAAATGACATGGTGTTAAAATAAATTTGGATTTGCTCATAATCATGTGCCTTTGTATGCTGCTCTTATTTAATGGGAGGTGGGGGAACTGTTAGTTGAGGTGATGGCCATTTGGAACTAGTTTTACATTCCCATATTCTGCCTTTCTAAAATGAGAGATAGTGTGGGTTGGGGAAAACCTAAATCCTGGGTTTTCTGAATGAAGACAGTACATTTTTTATGAAAGTTTCTGAATTTTTCTAGAGTAAAGTCTTTTTTTAAAGATTTTATTTATTTATTTGACAGACAGAGATCACAAGTAGGCAGTGAGGCAGGCAGAGAGAGAAGGGGGGAAGCAGGCTCCCTACTGAGCAGACAGCCCCACGCAGGGTTTCATCCCAGGACCCTGAGATCATGACCTGAGCCGAAGGCGGAGGCTTTAACCCACTGAGCCACCCAGGTGCCCCTAGAGTAACCTTGTTGGTGACAGTTTGTTTGGGATAAGGTGTACCGTAAAAAATAAAGCACTGTTTACCAATGTTTCTTTTGATTTAGGAAGCCAGAAGAATGCCTTTACTAGTATTCAATTTTTCAGGGCCAGTCTGAGATGGATAATTTATTAGGCTATCTTAGATGTGAAACATTGCTGACCAGGATATACTATAGTAAACAAAACTGGACATAGCTCCCTTCATAAGAGCTTATAGGCTGCAGTCAACCCCTGAACAATACGAGCATTTCTGACTCCCCGGAGCTTAATAAAGCCTGCTGTTGGCCAGAAGCTGTGGGATAACAGTTCATTAGCATATTTCACATGTTATATGTATTATATACTCCATTACAGAGCTAGGGAAAGCGAGAAAATCAGAAGAGAAAATGCATTTACATTATTGTGTGTATGGGTGCCTGGGTGGCTCAGTGGGTTAAGCCTCTGCCTTCAGCTTAGGTCATGATCCCAGAGTCCTGGGATGGAGCCCTGCATCACGTCATCCGGCTCTGCTCAGCAGGGAGTCTGCTTCCCTCTCTCTGCCTGCCTCTCTACTTGTTATCTCTATCAAATAACTAAATAAAATCTTTTTTAAAAAGGTTTACAGTATTGTGTGTAAAAACTACACAGGTACCTGTACCAATGGCAGTCAAACCTGTGTTCAAGTGTCAACTGTAGTGGCCAATCAACAGGTGAAATCCTGGTGAACTTGATATAATGTTGCTGGGGTTTTTTATTCTCAAAAATTTTTCATCATCTGTATATGTGCTGCCGAAGCAAGCACAATTTTTCATATTCTGATGGTACAGTACTAGAACTACTTGAAATCTTGGAACACGAGTCCTAAGTGTTAAAAACAAGAAACGTGGGGCGCCTGGGTGGCTCAGTGGGTTAAAGCCTCTGCCTTCAGCTCAGGTCATGATCCCAGGGTCCTGGGATCGAGCCCCACATCGGACTCTCTGATCTGCAGGGAGCCTGCTTCCTCCTCTCTCTCTCTCTCTCTGCCTGCCTCTCTGCCTACTTGTGATCTCTGTCTGTCAAATAAATAAATAAAATCTTAAAAAAAAAAAAAAAAAACAAGAAACGTTTTTTTCCGGAGTTAAAAAGGTGAGGTTGTTACTGTGTAAATTATAAAGGGAAATTACGGAAAAAAGATGATCACAAACAGCCTTACAGTCTCTTACTATAGAAGTAAGGTGGGGGTGGGGGGCTTCTGGGTGGCTCAGTCGTTGAGCGTCTGCCTTTAGCTCAGGCCACGATCCTGGTGTCCTGGAATGGAGTCCCGTACCAGGCTCTCTGCTCTCTCCGCTCCACTCCCCCTGCTTGTGTTCGTCTGTGTTTCTCTCTCTGACAAATAAAGTCTTTGGGGGTTTTCTTAATATATTTTTTAAAGTTTTATTTATTTATTTATTTGACAGACAGAGACCACAAGTAGGCAGAGGGCGGGGGGGAGAGGGGGGGGGGGGGGGGGGCGGGGGGGAGGGGGGGGAGGGTAAGCAAGCTCCCCACTGAGCAGAGAGCCTGATGGCGGGCTCAATCCCACGACCCTGGGATCAAGACCCCAGCTGAAGGCAGAGGCTTAACCCACTGAGACACTCAGGTGCCCCCAATTTTTTTTTTTAAGATTTTATTTATTTATTTGACAGAGATCACAAGTAGGCAGAGAGAGAGGAGGAAGCAGGCCCACCCGCTGAGCAGAGAGCCCGATGCGGGGCTCCGTCCCAGGACCCTGAGATCATGACCTGAGCTGAAGGCAGAGACTTAACCCACTGAGCCACCCAGGCGCCCCATCTTTGGGGTTTTTAAAGATTTCTATTAGAGCGAGAGAGGGAACACAAGCAGGGGGAGTGGGAGAGGGAGAAGCAGGCTTACCGCTGAGAGAAGTGCCTGATGCTGGGTTCCATCCCAGGACCCCAGGATCATGGTCTGAGCTGAAAGCAGACACTCAACGACTGAGCCACCCAGGCAGCCCAATAAATAAAATCTTACAAAGAAAAAAGGTGAAGTCTGTATGGTATGGGGTTCTTTTCATCCTTCCTAAGTCAAGTTTCCCTAGAGCAAAAACTATGGGTATGTTTTCCGAGTGCTTCTGACCTGACCATACCTTGTGACTGGAAGTTCTCTAACAGCAAATATTCTCACTCTAGAGAAGACAGCTGATCTTGCGTCCTCTGTCCATTGATTTGATCTTCACCCCGAGGTAGAAGGAAAGTCACTGAAGTATTTTCTGAACAAGATGCATTGTGCCCAGGAATCTTGTGACATTCAGCCTCAGGTATTGTGGGGAAAGACCGTACGGAGTTGACAAGGAAAAAGCGTTGATCTAAATGACAGAGGTCTCTTTTTGTAGTATGAAGGCTTTCTCGACTCCCCACTTTACATCCTCCCACGTAATCTTAGGACCTTCGTAAGTTCCGTGATAGAATCTCCCTACAGCAATTTAGAAAACAAATTGGGGATTTTTGTAGACTCCGCACCTATCCATAATAAAATGGAGGGTATCCCGCGAAACTGCAACTCCCATGAAGCAGTGAGGGGGAAGGCGGAAGTCGCTATCGTTTGCTCGGCCGCACGTCTCGGTCCCATATTGGAAATATGTGCTCACGTTGAAATAATACAATGTCCTCCTAATAAAACTGGGCGAGGGGAATTTTGTAACTCAAATAAAATGTTTCCAAGAGAACTGCTAATGCAATCACTTAATCCGGCACCTGAAACGCCATTGTTACTCTCCTCCGGCAGCCCCGCCCCTCGAAGGACGATCCAAACAGCGGAAGTGACGACACAGCTCTCCGTTAAATAGCTGGAGGCGGACCGCAGCCCCTCTCTCGGCCTTAGCGCCATCTTCTTGGGTAAGTGTTGTTCGCTCCTGTGTTGGCATTCCGTGCACAATCCATTAACATCTGATCTCTACACCAGCCATCATAACAGCAAACTAACCGTAGCCTTTTTCTCTTTGCCTGTAGAAACCTCTGCGCCATGAGAGCCAAGGTAAGCAGTTCCTGGCAGTAAGCTGAGGCAGTAGCGATGGGTGATGGGTGATGGGTAGAGGGATAGCCGGGCAAGAGAAGTCCGCCATGGTTCCCGAGCCGCTGGGTTCTCAAGGGTGCCCAAGAGCTAATAGGGGAGGAAAAATAATTTGGGGAGAAGCAGAGGAGGGGAGTAAGTACTGTTGGTAGGGGGGCGGGAGTAGAAAAGCGCACGCAAGATTCAGGTTTATATCCGCGGGTGAGAGTGGGAGTCCAAATTGATAGGGTTACTGCGACTAAGCCCTCATACTTAGGAACCTGCCAGGTTTTAAATAATGTCCTTCACACCCCTGCCTAGACCTGTATTAAAGCTAATCTCTTGTTTTATTCACTGCGTCTGGTTATGATCGATTGCCAGTGGAGGAAGAAGCGAATGCGCAGGTATGTTGAGACTTGACCGTCCGAAACAGGAAAGGGGAAGTGTAGCGTGCCTTGGACAAGACGTGGGAGGAACATTTGGTTTAGAAATATAAAAGAACTTAGGTGAAAAACAATTCTAAGTATTGACTTTACTAGTACGGGATTGAACACAATAAAGATAGTAGGACCGAAGTGCCCTTTTGTTTTGCTACCCCTGGTATCCGATGCACATTTTTAGGATGGGAGGGAAAGACTGAACCTGGGTTTGTGGGCAGGAGATGTATTTCCGTGTCTGCTTTTCAGGCTGAAGCGTAAAAGAAGAAAGATGAGGCAGAGGTCCAAGTAAACCGCTAGCTTGTGCACCGGTGGAGCCACAGGAGCAGAAATAAGGAAAGCCAGAGGTCAGGGACGCTGGTACCAATTGTTGGGCTGCATGCCTACTCTCTAGAGCTTGATTTGGATCTAGACCATCCATCGCCATCTGATCGCAGCTACCACCTTTGAGAGACCCGCCTTGTTGATACCAAAACCGACTCTTGGCCCTTTGCCCTGGACCTGTGACTTTTCGGGACTGTTTTCATTTGTGGCTGAATGTAACACGTGTACAATAAATCATCTCTTCTGCTGTCTTAGCTGAAGGAAAAAAATGGTCTTGTCTGATACGTGGTTTTTATGGTTCCATTGGCTGGGGTTCTGGATCACTGGAGCAGATCTTGAGTACCCCGTGCTGTAGAGTGTCGCGCCACATGGGCTACAGCCGGGTTGTGAATCCTGCGCTGGCCAACTGGCCCCACGGCTCTCGGAGCTAGATAACTGGGTGTCCCTTCCCGTATTGGGTGTAGTACACGCAAGGGGTCGGGTTTCAACCTGGTTCGCGACCAAGTTAGGGGCAAACGACGATCCCTCCCTAACTGTCTGAACCTCGGTTACTAAGTTCCCGCTTTTGGGGCCTTACTGTGCTGCTGGGTTGGGTTGCTATGGTGACACGCAAAGCTTGCTGGGAACTTCCTGCGGCTAGTCGCACAAGTACTTTGCGCCCCATAGAGTAGTTCCGGGTCTGTGGCTAGAGCGTCATTTCTTCCGCAGGAAGCGGAAGGGCGATAGGGTAGGCGGCTCTTTGTCGAAGCTACAGGACCGGCAGGCGGCAGCAGCAACTACGGCGGCGGCGGCAGGTGAGGGAGGCGGGAGACTTAGGTGGAGGCCGCGCCCGGAGGGGAGGAGTCGGGGCCGGCCCAGCAGCTGGGCTCGGCCGGGCTACACAAGGCCCCCCAGGACCGAGCTGTTTCCTTCTCACGCCCCAGGGCCGAACCCTTTTTCTGACTGACCCTGCTTTGCGAGCAAACGCCAGCTTCGTGACGTCACAGCCCTGCCCATCCCCGCAGCTTGATGTCACCTGGAGTCCCCCCTTCCCGCTTCACTTGTGCTTCCTTAATGTCTTCTTCGTCTGGTTCACGGCTGAGCGCCGGTCGCACTGCACAGAACCTGGCAAACTAGAAGACTTGCTGTGGGAAACTCCTAAGACTTTCCCCCCAAACTCTGGGGTGTTGCGAAGCGTCATAATCACCGCCTCCAAGTCTAATCAGCCATCCCACTGCATTGTCAGTTGCTGCCTTTGCACGGCTCCCCATTCGTAGTGAATTAACCTCAACCCTAGGCAGGGCTCTGATCCCCACATCTTCCTTCATCTCGAGGCAGGGCACCTCTCAAACCTTTTGTTCACCCAGGGCTGGTTTTCCAACGCATTCTCCTAGGCTCTCCAGATTAGTTCTGTCTTACTCTCCTTACTGACAACTTCTCCCTTTGACAGGTGAAGTTCGGCTTGAACTCGCAGGAAATCTTGGAAGTGTTCAGAGCTCTTGCCATTTTGTCAAACTTCTTTATTGTAACGTCTTAGAGTTCTCTGTTCTTACCCCTTCTCCCACCCAAGTCTCTGTTTTTTATTCCTGTTCAGAACCCAGCAGTGATGTGGAGGTGGAGAACCACAGGAGCCCCGGACTTCACCTGAGCTACCTCAGGTATCGAACTATCCTGGGAGAGTTGGGTGGGGAGGAGTATCATATCTGATTATCAGCCTCTGGTGGGAGCTGCAGCATGGTTCAGACTCAGAGAGATGGTATTTATTTTTTTACCAGGTCCTTTCACTTTTAGTAAAAGTTTGATTCTTCCTTAATACCCTTCTTTTTTCCTTGGTTGTTTCGATTTTGGGACTACATCCTTTTGGAGGAAGAGGATCCCTCTTCTTTTACAGATTCATCTGTAATTCTGGTCTCAGATCTGTTTGGTTCATTTTAGGAAGGTCTGAAGGCAAAGTCAAGGCAATGGAAAAGGTGGTTGGGGGGAGATGAAGACCAAAGAAACCAGTAAAGATTTCCTTATAGTCAAGTGGAAACAGTATGAAGTTTTTCTATTTGAACAGCAGGGGGAGTCTGATCACTGCCTTAGAAAGGCTTATGAGGTCAGACACGTGGTGGCAGGGACTCCTAGTCTTTTTGGGGGTGGGGAGAGGGGAGGGCTCGAACCAGGGCAGTGGACTGACATTCCAGAGCTCTCTTGGGAAAGAGGAGACTTAAAAAGCTTTTATAGAGTCTATAAATAAAGAGGATCTTTATGGGGTGAGGAATGGTGTGGTTTGATGTCAGTGGGATCTAATGGGGAATGAAAGGGGTGTGTAGAATGGAAAAGAAAGGTCACTGGTTCTTGTGAAATTAACTCCTTCCTCCCACCTTGGTCTTACCGCAGATGGTTTTGTCTTTTGGGGGTCTAGAAGTGGAGATTCCAGCTGTAGAACTCTTACCCTGAAATGGAGTAGAGAGGGGTGACCACATGGATTGAGAACAGTGGTGAGCTGGGAGGGAATACGAAAAAATGATAGATTTAGGGACTGCCCTCAAGCTGGTGACACCAGTCTCTTAGGACTTCCTGGGGTCTAGAGATCTGATACTTCACAGTGCCCTCATGTAAAAGAGGGGTTAAAAGAAGTTTTGTCTGCAGTGCCCCATTATCCAGAGCCCTAGTAAGCTCACCAGCCCATCTTGGCCACTTCCCAGTCTCCCCCTAACCTATTGAGACACTGAGACAGCAGTTTTAATTTCACTTCCTCAACTTTAATAAGGTCAGCTCGGAAGGGGAAATAAAACCCAACACTCTTTTCTCCTTGCCCCCTCCTTGCCCTAACATCATTGGTGAGATGAGGTGGCTTCACCCCAGCTCCCTCCCTCCCCACCCCATTAGCCAGGCTAGTGTGAATCATTCTGAACCAGACCAGGTGCACAAGGGCCTGGGCGGGACTTCTGACAAGCCAGCCAGTCCAGCCAGAATTCTCATCCCTTAGATTTTCCATCTCCAAAGCCATTGCCCCTCTGGCCTGCTTTTTGCTGGACTGCCTGCTCTATAGCTGGGAAGAATGTGGCCTCTCTGGAAGATTCCTGTTTGACACGGTTCTCCTCTTTCCTAGTGGTCACCAAGGGTGGCAAGAAAAAGAAGAAAGCCCTGAGTTGGGGGGGACCAGGATGCCTGACCGGGACAGCTATGCCAACGGCACTGGGAGCAGCAGTGGAGGCCCTGGAGGCGGTGGCAGTGAGGAGGCCAGTGGGGCAGGGGCAGGCAGTGGCGGGGCCAGCTCAGATGCCATCTGTAGAGACTTCCTAAGGAATGTGTGCAAGCGAGGCAAGCGTTGCCGCTATCGTCATCCAGACATGAGTGAGGTATCCAACTTGGGGGTGAGCAAAAATGAGTTCATCTTCTGCCATGACTTCCAGAACAAGGAGTGTAGCCGCCCAAACTGCCGATTCATCCATGGCTCCAAGGAGGATGAGGATGGTTATAAGAAGACAGGAGAGCTTCCCCCTCGACTGAGGCAGAAAGTGGCAGCCGGCCTGGGCCTTTCACCAGCTGACCTGCCCAATGGCAAGGAGGAGGTCCCTATCTGCCGTGACTTCCTCAAGGGTGACTGCCAGAGAGGAGCCAAGTGCAAGTTCCGCCACCTGCAACGGGATTTTGAGTTTGACGCTCGGGGTGGAGGAGGCAGCGGTGGTGGCGGCTCAGCAGGCCCGGTACCCCCAGGACGACGTCATGACCTCTATGATATCTACGACCTCCCTGACAGGGGCTTTGAGGACCACGAGCCAGGCCCCAAGCGCCGGCGAGGTGGATGCTGCCCCCCAGATGGCCCCCATTTTGAATCCTATGAATATAGTCTGGCTGCACCGAGAGGCGTGGAGTGCAGGCTGCTGGAGGAGGAGAATGCCATGCTCAGGAAGCGGGTGGAGGAGCTAAAGAAGCAGGTCAGCAACCTGCTGGCCACCAATGAGGTACTGCTGGAACAAAATGCCCAGTTCCGCAATCAGGCCAAGGTCATGACCCTGAGCTCTACTGCACCAGCAACGGAGCAGACTCTGGCCCCCACCGTGGGCACTGTCGCCACTTTTAACCATGGCATTGCCCAGACTCACACTACTCTCAGCAGCCAGGCTCTACAGCCTCGCCCTGTATCCCAGCAAGAACTGGTGGCCCCCACTGGAGCTCCAGCTGCTCCCCCAACTAATGCTGCACCTCCTGCTGCTCCACCACCCCCACCCCCACACTTGAACCCAGAGATCACGCCATTGTCAGCTGCTCTGGCTCAAACAATTGCCCAGGGGATGGCACCCCCACCTGTCTCCATGGCTCCTGTGGCTGTATCTGTGGCTCCTGTGGCCCCTGTGGCTGTATCGATGGCCCAGCCCTTGGCAGGAATCACGATGAGCCACACCACCACTCCCATGGTGACTTACCCCATCGCTTCCCAGAGCATGCGTATCACAGCCATGCCACACTGAGGGGGCTAATGGACACTCCCGGGGTATAGCCTCCCAGGGCTGGGGTCGAGGGGCCCTCACCCGCTCGCCTAGCCCTCCCAGGCCCTGTCTGAAGGGCTCACTCAAGAACTAGGACGAGAGACTACAAGGAGTTTGCTTTTGAGAAGGGATTGGGCTGGTCTGTTTTCTCTCACCTCCCTTTTATGAGGGTCCTCTTGTCCATCTTCCTTCAAGCCTCACAGAGGGGGGCTTGCATAGGAGTGCAGACTGAAGCCAGCAGAGAGGAAGGACTGACCGAGGGGCTGTATGTCCCCTGATGGGAAGATGGGGACATCCTGGTCTTGTCCTCTCTTCTGCATAGTGCAGGTTCCAGCACTGGCTTTGTAAGAAAAAAAAATACCCTGCCTAGAGGGAAAGCCAGGAAAAAGATTGGGAAGCAGGTGGCCAGGAGAGAAGGCCTGATCAGAGCCTTTAGACAATTGGAGGCCTAGCAGAGTTGGACAATACAGGAACTGTTCCTGGGCCCATGGGAAGGTGGGGACCATAGTACTCCAGCCCAAAGACAAGGGGAGCTTTTCTTACCTTGGCTTGGCCTGGAAATCCATAGGGCAGGGCCCACCACTTTCCAAAGAAATAAAAAAAGGATTATTTTTAACAAATGGAGGCAGTGAAAACTTGCTTAGATATTCTGTATGGAAGATAGGAGCAGTAAATAGATCTCATGCCAAAATGGGATAAAGACCCCCTACCCTCACATAGTTCGGGTAAGGTTGGGCTGAGGCCAGGTGAAGGGTAGAGACCCAAAATAAGACCAAATGGGGCTTTGTGGGGTAAAAACACTGGAGCCACCCAGTCTAGTTTAAAAATAGTCCCATCTGTTTCTGGTTTCTATCTGCATGTACTACTCCCAGGATACCTTAGTAACCAGGGCTCCTGGGGTCATTTAGGGGGGCAGGTACTAAGGAGGGGTGGCTGTGCTGGGAAATGGCAATGGGCTATGTATTGACAGATCTTTTCCTTATTCAAACAGTAGGGCAGGTGGCAGTTGCTCTCTTGAGTTGTTGATGGCAGTTAATATCTCCCATCCCTTTCTCAGTTACAATGCCTTAAGCCTTCAAGGCTTGGGAGGTGCTAGGAAAAGGAAAGTTCTTCTGGGGACACAAGCCTCGGTGTTCATCTCTTCCCGCTGCCTCCAAAAAGAACCACAGAGGTTTTAAATCCATTTTTAAGAGTCAGTAAGGCCAGGGACCCCCATAGCCAATCCTCAGTTCCTCCTCAGCTCATGGTTGATGTAGGGGAAACAACTCAGGTGTCTGACGGGACAGTGGATTTGGGGTAGAGAAAGTGATCCTGAGTTGTGCTTCCCCCATTGTATCTCCTGCTACCTCTTGCTTTCTTGTCTGGTTGATCACTCAGGTTACACCTGGGGTTGGAGATGGTGGGCTAAGTCAAGGTTCGTCATAAAAAAAGAAAAAAGAAATGGCCTAAAGACTAAAAGTAGTCAAATACTGAAATACTGTTTGTGGACTTTAGAAACCACACGTTGATAAGCTTAATGTTGATTTTTTTTGGCAAAATTCTGGATTATTAAAAGAGATGGTTTATAAACATTTAGAGACAAATGTGATCATAGATACCAACATCTATGACTGTTGGTATCCTGCCTGTTTTCTTTTTGCCGAGTTTCTCTAAAGAGGTAGTTGAGAAACTGTAGACATTGTATGTTCTTTATTAATATAAGACCAGCTAAAGGCCACCAGGAATACACCTATAGCCAAATAAGCTGGGGTTAATGCTCACTGCAGTAGTGGAGAAAGAGTGGCACATGGGACCCATGGTGTGTCCTAGCAAGGGGCCATTAGAAAGGACTTTGAGGACTTGGGCTTTGGTTGAGTGATTTGGGGAAAGGTTCAAGGGAGGGGGGCTTCACTCTGGATTGGGTGCTGTCAGGGAAGCAGGGACACTTCTGTGATTGGGTATCTTTTTTTTTTTTTTTTGAGATTTTATTTATTTATTTGACATCACAAGTAGGCAGAGAGAGAGGAGGAAGCAGGCTCCCTGCCAAGCAGAGAGCCCAATGCGGGGCATGACCCTGGAATCACCACCTGAGCTGAAGGCAGAGGCTTTAACCCACTGAGCCACCCAGGCGCCCCTGTGATTGGGTATCTATCTTATCCAGGAGAAGGGCAGACTAGAGTGAAGCTGAAATTGGTGACAAAGCAGCAGTCACTCATTAGCTGGGAAAGGGGGATGGTTGCTATTTCATGATTTGCACACCGACCATATTTCGTGTTTAAACAGAATTGTGAAATATGATCTTGCTTTTTGCTTCACTTCATCACAGTCACTGAGTTCCTTTGTGTGACACTGGTGTTTTGTGAGATTGTGTCCTGTAGGAGAACACCATTTCCCAGCAGTGAGCCCAGCTCAGCCCCTAACAGATCCGAAGCCCTGTCGTGCCAAGCCAGTTCCCAGATGGCAGGGCTGCTGTCCTGCTTCTCACCTAAGTCATTGTGGATAAGAGAATAATCATGGCTCAGTTAATAGTCGAGTTTGGTGGAGTCAAAACTCAACATTTATGCCTAGTAAATGTTGATTAGTGCATTTTGTTAGAGAAATATCTAGTCTCTAGTGATATACCCAAGAGCGATATTCTGTTTTTAAAAAAAGAAAAGAAAGAAAAACTTGTGTAAAAATACAAGAAGCCCTATTATCAACAGCAACACAAGGAAGTACCAAGTACTCCTGAAAGTACTATAAGGTGGATTCACTGAATTAATCCAAGAGGTCAGTCTGGATCAATTTGGATTCACCCTCCCCCTAAAAAATTGCTTGAGCCCACCCAAGGAGGAAATGCAGAGATCTATATTAGCAGTAATTCACATGAAAACAACACAGGACTTCCAGCTGATTACAAAAACAAAGTCTCAGTCCTTCTAGTAGGTGATTCATATAAACAGTCTGCTATATTCTAGGCACCTCTTGAGGAGCTCCATAAGGGTAACAGAACTGGAGTAATGCATTTTAAATAGAGCGGTTCTACCATGTCTGAGTAGCACCACTCCTAAATATTCTGTGTGCTAAATGTAATTTTTAAAGAGGCCCATTGATAAACCAGTGGGGTAGCAGGGAGAAAAAAAGGAAAAGACTGAGGGAAGACCTAATAGACATCTTCAAATATTTGAAGACCTCCCCAAAAGTTCCTGTCTTGCTGCACAAGAGATAAACGGAGTTCCAGAAGACTAGTTATGTACTTAATAATATAAGCCAAGGCTCTGTGCTAACACTTCACATGCATCGTTTCACCGACAGTGGGTAGTTTATAAACAAACCTGTTTTGTAGAGGAGAGAGCAGGCAGACCGAGAGTCAGCTGCCCAGGGTTCTGCAACTGTAAGTTTTGGAGCCAGGAGTTTATTCAGGGAGTCTGACTCCAGGCTTGACAGAAAATTCTAATGATAGAACTACTTTGCAGTAACTTTTGAGGAATAATAGAGGAAATTTCCTCAAATCTCATTGTCCCTTCCATCTTGAGGAGAGGGCAAAGACTAGATTATCACGTGTAACCCTCTGCTTCCCCTAGGACATGAATGAAGTTTCCATACAGATGCAGATTGCAAATTCAGGACGTCCTGGCGTTTTCCTCACTTACTTCTCTAACATAATGGCCAGGCTTCCCCCCATTACTGATTTACTGCTTATCGCCACCAGGTGGCACCTGGACAGCAGAATTGTCTCCCGGCAGGGACCCACCCTGTTTACTTGTTCTGGTCCCTGCATTGCAGCTGCTGATCCTTTGGCAGCTGGGCCCCATCTGGGAAGAGCCCTTCCTGAGGATGGGCTTTTGTCTTCCGGAGACCGTCTTTAGTAGAAGGGTCTGATGATCGAGATGGGGTGAGAAAGTGGAGAAGCTTGGAAAGGAAACCCCATTGGTGGTGCTCTCCACCCCTAGTGAAGTGACCTGCTCCTTCTACTCTAGTACTTGGCACATTTCAGTTTACAGAGAGGTTTCCCTCTAAGGAGGCTCCTTCATTTTCCTGCTGTAGTTCTGCTTCATCAGTTGATGAGCAGGTCACCCTTACCTCTTCCAGACTCCATGAGCTCCTTCCCACCTGCTTACCTCTGAGAACATGGAAGATGTACACAGAAGATAGAAAGCTGTTCCCTATGTAGTTCTGCACACTGAAGGAAGCGCTCTAGATACTGTTAGCCTTAGGGAAGTAGAAAAGGGGAAGTGGGAAAATTTAAGATTAAGGGGGTAAGGCTGATCAGGCCTAGGTTTTGAACAGTGAAATAGTCTGACGAAATCTGTGCCCTGCAGAGGCAGATAATATTTATCAGCTGCAGATCTGGGCTCTCCACCAATCAACCCTACTTCCCTTTCTGCACCAAACAGAAACACAAGCCCCACACATAGTGCATTAAAAGATAATCGTTTTATGGCCAACTCTTCCCTCCTGGACTTCCGGTTTAGTTTCTAAGTCCCTGGACAACACTGGTAAGTGCAGTTAACTAGTAACAGTAGTTATCAGTATACTCTGCACTTCTCCCTTCCTAAACTTACACAGCACAACATAGAATTGCAGTAGTTCTCCATCTGACTGTATTCCGAACTTTACTTCTAACTCAGGCAAATAAGAAACAGAATTGTCTCATTACTCTTGTCTCATTTTAACGTTCTAGCAGTTCCTCAGGGTCAGGAAATTCTTGGAAAATGTAATCAAATCCGTTGCAGCTGAGGCGTCCCCCCTCCCCCTACCTTTTGCGAGCCAATTTAATTTGTCTTCTATGATAGAAATAACTACGTCTTGGAGAGTTCTAAAAAAAAAAAATAAAATAAAGCCTCACTGCCTAGTCACGCTCTCTCTCTCGCTCTCTCCCTCTTCCCTGAAGGCTGGATAATCTCAACTCTGTAATTCTTGTATTTTCCAGCTTTTTTCTAGCTGCTGTCTTTTCACTGCACAAAGTAGAGGACGGGACAAGATAGCCAGGGTCAGTCATCGAACATTTTCATTCCACACAGGGTGTTTTCCTTTTTTTTTTTAAGGACAGCCAGGGAAACACTGAAGGGTAAGTAATGTACCCAAGAGTATAAAGACTAGGGAAAACTGACAAATGAACATGTAGGAATTCCAGACAAATCCTGCCAAACCGTGCGAATGGAGTGGAAGTAAATCCTGATCCTCCACAACCCCATCACTTCGCAACCCCAAGTCCGGGTAAAACAGTAATTGGCGGCGCGGCTCCGCATGACGTCATACCGCAGGCACTCCAATCCCACGTGGGGGAGCGCCTGGTCCGCCTCTCCTTAAACGGTAAGTCACGCCTCCTTCTCTTTCTGACCAATCAAATGCCGCCCTTCAGCCTCTTTCCGACCTTTCCCGCCGTCCCAGA